ACTAAATAGTAAATCTTCATCTACAGACTGAATTAGCACTGTGTGCAGCCTATGGCAGCCAAGACTTAAGCTAGAACCCTGGTGGTCTATGGACAACACAGTGCATCACAGTTTCAAGGTAACTGTTTCCATGGTCCCTCGAGAGCACCCTCTTAAGGGTTCAGGCTCCCAGCTGTCACTGACTCCTTCTCACCAGGTGTTATAAGGGTTCACAGCCCCCTGCCATACACCAATATCTCCAGCAAGCCAGTATGGCTTAAGGCCAGCCTCTGTGAACTGCTTTCTCTCTGAGGGCTATGAACAGTATATTGCCAACAGAGAAATCATATAAAACCCAAAAAGTTCCTACACACTTACTCAAACATACCAGAAATTGTCCATCAGCCTTATAGCGCTTACAAGGCCAAAGTCATTCCAACACCTCAGGATTGGGGCCTCTCCTTGGACAAAATGTCATGTCCATTTTCTTACTCAAAATAAAGGCCATTAGTATGTTTAAACTCCCCATTTATATATCCTCAAGTTCTTTCTTTGCCTCCTGGTCTCTGAAAAACCTAGTTTGAGTAATTATATACAAACCACCCAACAGCTCTCTGGAGCGGTTTACTGTCTTAGTAACTCACTTTAACCTCTGTTTTTCGTTGGTAACCCACGTTGTAGAATAGAATGCAATCATACATTAAATCATTCATAAATGTAATACAATTGCCTTGAAAAAAAACTGCATGGGGTTCCAACATCTGTTGCAAAGTGATCCTCCTCCCTTGGCCAAGTCAGTTGGAAATCTGACATGCCTCTCCAGGTTGGAAGTCACACTTTGTACATCTTTTAGCATCTTGGAAAGATCAATAGACAACAGATTTGACTATTGTCACTTTGGTAGTTAGTAATACAGTATATCAGCAAATCTCTTCAGAAGATAAGAGTTTTGCAAAACTTACAAGAAAATATTTGAGGTCTGACCCATAGACAACTGAAGTCAACAGATGTGTTTCAACTGACTTAAATGAGCTTCGGATAAGGCCTATGAAGTATAGTTTCCTGGCATAAGGCCTGATCCTGTGAGGTTCTGAGCTCCTCATGTGGTCATTCACAGCCTCTACTTTAGTAACCACTACCTTCTTGGTCCCCATCAGGGACTGAACCAGGGACCTCCACAGCTTTAAAAAAAAACCACAAGCCTCTCCAGCTTAAGCTAAACGACCAGGTCTGTAGCTCAAAGTTTTAACAGACTCATATCTTTTGGGGATCAGACAGAGTTAGATATGTAATATATATTGTACAGTGGGTAACAGTAGGATTGAGGATTAAATGGAATACTAATCAGTAAGCCTCACTCCTGCACCCACTAGAGTCAATGGAATTTTTGCCATTAACTTCAAAGAAAATAAAATCAGACACTAAGAAACATACAGAGGGGACCTTAACTAGAAAAAGTGCAGTGAAAATACTGTGATCACCAGGAGAAATAATGAGAAAAAAATAAATGCATTAGAAAACTGAGTTCTTGTTGAGAAGAAAGAAGTCTTCAAGGACGAGTTAGATGACTCAGGGTTGTGGGGGAGAGAAGGAATCAAACCCAAGCTGGCTTATTAAAGTGAGATGACTTTTAAAGACTGTGCGCTACACCTATATTTCTTATTCACTAGCTGTAACAGAATTGTGAATAACTGCAACTGATGTATGTGTTGTGAATGAACACTGCACTTTTTAATCTTCCTCCTCTGGAATTTCTATGCTGAAGCCAGTTAATGGACCCATCCCACAGATGTTCATTCAAAGATTTAAGTTTGGATTTTCATATAAAGAAAATAGAATAGTGATGTTATTTAGCATGTGTGCATTTAACTTCAGTACAGCTAGCAGCAAAAGTTCAAAAGGCCAGATGCATTTTCAATTATATAAAACAAAACAAAGAAACCTTAGGTCCTACTCTATATTGCTGGTTTATCTAATATTTCTTTTGGAAAGCTCTCTCTGACTGCTAATTCATGTCACAAAGTATTCCATCACACCCACATCACACCATACTTGAAAAATGCACTACGACCCACCTTAACTAAATGAAACTATCCACATGGACCTGCATAGCCTTACTGCATATTATTGTCAAAAAAGACTTAATACAGCTTTCCATGAATTTCTGTAAACGATCATACTTCCAGGTCCCACAAGCAGGGAAGGTACATTGATCTCCATTGCTGTTGATTGTTTTCTATTGTATAGATCAGTGGTTCTCAACTGGGGGCCCATGGCCCCCTGGGGTCCACGAGCCATTTCAGGGGGGGCCGCAAAGCCCTGTGGTTGGAAGCCAGTGCCCTGAGCCTGTGCTGCAGCTGGGAGCGGCGCGGGGCTGAAGCCAGGAGCCCCAGCATCCCCCTCAAGCCAGAAGCAGTGGGGGGCTGAAAAGCCAGGAGCCCCAGTGCCTCCTCCCCCCGCTGAAGCTGGGAGCTGTACTGGGAGTCCCAGTCCATCCGTCCCCCCCATACACAGCCCCTAGCTACCCCGCACCTGCACCCTGAGCTATCCCCCCTGACTGCACACAGCCCCTAGCTATCCGCTGCCTGCTCCCTGAGCTACTCCCCTACCTGCACACAGCCCTTAGCTACCCCCCTGCCTGCACCCTGAGTTACCCCCCTGCCTGCACAGCCACAACTATCCCCCTCCCTGTACCCTGAGCAGTTTTCAAACTTTTTGAACTGAGTCCCCCCCTTTCAGTTATATTTTTGGTTATGTCCCCCCCAGAGCTCAGACAGGCTGGGTGGCCGTCTGAGTGAGTCAGGGGGTGGAGGTGGCGCTCCCTCCCTGAACCCTGCTGTGTGGAGCTGGCTTGAGCCCCGCCAGCCCTTGCCCCCCCCCCCAAAATAGAAGTAAAGCTATGCCTATGACCAAGGGTCCCCCCCCAGGTCCAGAGCCCCGTGCTCACTCTCCCCCTCCCTCCCAGCCGGGCCCTGGAGTTTTTATAGCATGTTGAGGGGGGCCTCAGCAAGAAAAAAGTTGAGAATCCCTGGTCTAGATAACCATTTGTCCTCCTTAAAGGAGGACAGTCATTTTGACATATTTGTCCTCCGTCCTCCTCATGTCTCGAGAATGATGCTTAAATGACCTCTTTTTGACACTTTGGATTTTGTAATTTAGAAAATGATTAATAAAATCTTAAAAATAAAAACATATGCAACCCCTCCCCAAAGCCCCCTGGCTCTCACTGGGCTCTGGGTTGTTCTATGAATGCTCTTCCACTCTGTACTCCTGGGGGAATTCTGTGCCAAAAAAATTAAAAATTCAATGCTAAAAACTGAAAAATTCTGCACATAATATAATATTTTAAAATTCTGCAAAATTGTGTATATTTTATCAAAATAAAACATCACACCAGTTTCAATTATTTTGTTAATTTATTTCAAAATATTTGTCAGCAACTACATCTGTAACAATACAGACCAAAAAAAAAGATTCAGGAATTTCTTTTTTTGATACATAGATTCCTTACTAGACATATTAATACAGAACTTCCAGTAATACATTTAAACTACAATACAAAAATGTATTTCCTGCACCCCTCAGAAGCAGGGCAAAGGCTTAAGGGAATCAGGGGTAATGGAGGAGCTGAGGAGGGGAGAAGCCTGGGAGTGAACCTGGAGGGTTGTTGGGTATGCGTGGGAGAAGTATGGAACAGGGTTTTCAGGGGGGATTGTTAGGGAGTAGGGGAGCCTCCCTCATGCAGATCCTGGCTGACCTCTAGCCTCTCCCATTCAGTCAGGCACATCTGCCCCCAATCTCCCCCCATGTCCCTGCATCCCCCTACCCCCCCCATCCCTGCACCCCCATCCCTATTCAGCCCCCCACCCCACCACATTCAGCTCCTGGCTCAATGCTGTCATCCCACTAGCACCTAAGCCTGCACCCCAGTCTGTCTCCCCTACTAGCCTTTCTGAACCCCAGTCTTTGACCCTCAGGCAGCCCCATGTGCCCCACTCTGTCTGTCCTGTGCCTCCTCACCCGACCCCACTGTGAGGAACACAGCCTCTTTCCAGTCCCTCTCCACCTGCTGGCTGCCCATTCTTCTGGTGCCACAGCAGCCCCTGGTGGGTGCAATTTGTAACTGCAACACCTCTCCAGCAGAATCTATATGTAACAAGGAGGACAGTCATTTTGACATATTTGTCCTCTGTCATCCTCATGTCTCGAGACACAGTGGCACAGAATTTCCCCAAAAGTAGCTCTGCTCCAGAGAGGAAACAGGCCTTTTCTTTGCCAGCTCAGCGGCTAGGCCTTCTCTCTCTCTCCCCAACTCAGAGAGTCACACTGGCTCTAGGTTTCTATCTCACTCCCCCTCCAGGCACAGCAGTCCTATTCAGACATTGGGTCCTTTCCCCTGCCCCCACCCAGGAGCCTCACTCATTGGCCCCAGCCTGCAAGGGCTTCCAGCCACCCTTATCTTCAACCCAGCTTGGTCTGGATCTATGGAGCTCTGGTGGCCACCATACCTGAGCTCCCTGAGACTGTTGGGCAGTGCAAGTGGGAGCCACCATACTTGAGCTCCCTGAAAAGGAACTCCAAGGGTGTTACAAATAAAAAAAAACTTGGTGGCCTGTATTGGTCTGCTATTTTTATACCACATTCCTGTGATAAATATAGTGCACCAATCACCATCCCAAAAAGAATAGAGGTTTCTCAGTGACCTAAGAAAAAGAATTTAAATTCATTACAAGTAGGAAATGAGATAACTATGCATTTTGCAGCGATTGTAAGTGTGACACTGATGTTTCGATTTGAGGTAAAGGTAATGTAACATATCCCATTAAAACTGCCAAAGATGACAAAAAGTTCAAAAATTCAAAAGTTTTTTCCAAAGTTCATGCTCTTTATGAGTTACTATAGCAGAACTCACCAAAACATTTCATGTTGTTAAGCAACTACTCATCAAAGTGTGGATGACAGGAAAAGTTGATAGTTCTATTTTCACTGATTCCAAAACTCCTTAAAAGCATATCCTGTGGAAAAAGTAAATCAAAAGCACTTTGTGAAAATGGGCTAGCCCCATATTCTGTTTCTAAGTGTACAGATGACCTTAAAGAGAACATTTATTATTCAAAATAACTGGGTATTTCCAATAAAGATTTCATGAAAGGCTTCCCACATATTTTACAGCACTCCACTGTGTTACCACATTCAATATTGTTTATTAGATTTTTATGAAGACTGTCATGAAACTTCTCAAGCAAATCACTACCAACCTAATCAATAGGATTGATGAATTTAGACTAAAATTATCAAATGTGTCAGCATATACAGAAGACAATGTGGGTGTTAATTATTCTAAATTTAACGGTTTTCCAAAAACAGAGAAAAAAGTGACGTTGTTACCAATTGTTTAGCTCATGTCATACGCAGCAACACAAGATTTGCAGCGACCAAATTAAACATTGATGTAGAAAACCTAGTTTAAAAAGTTTACAGCCATTTAAGAATTCAGTCACAGAGTTCAACAGCTTTAAAGAACTTGGCCAATTTGCTGGGGTAAAATACAGTAAAATTCTAGGCCATGTAGTCACACCTTGGCTGTCACTTGTACTTGCTCATTGAACAACCGGCAATGTGTTGAAAAGGGTTTACAAGTTACTTTCAATCTTTGGGGGAAGATAAATGCAATAAAGTAATATGGGGTAGTTTTGGAGATGCTGAATTGTACTATTTCTTCTTGAACCATGCTCGAAAAACATTCACAGATAGTACTGAAGCTCTCAAGTCAAACTTGCTCACAGTAACTTCATTGTTCGAACTGATGTCCAACCTAAACAATAAACTAAAATATAGAATAAATGAAATGTTATGGTTGTGTTTTGAACTCCAAATGGAAGAATCTCAGTGAAAGTGAATGAAGAAGAGTATGAAACAGATTTTCTGCTTTTTTAAAAATCAGTGAACTAGAAAATATTTATGAAAGAGATGACTTTACTGAAAATAATATGCACTAAAAAAACCTGTCTTATTGGCAAAATAGCATTCTTTTAAAGAATTTACAGAGGCTGTTGAAACATTCAAAACTGATAAAGTTCTTAATATGGACAAATTACATGAAGAATTTTGTATAAATCAAGGAAGTCATTTTGTCTCCAGAATTTCAAGCCTTCACAAGTATTAAAAAGAAATACCTCATGATTTTCAAAATGGCAAATTCAAGTGGAAGTGGAAACTTCAAAAATTTGAAAAAACATATTTTCCATTTCACCCAGCAATGCATATCCTGAAAGAATATTTTTGTTAATGAATTACGCATGGTGAAATGAAAGTAATCAGTTGAAAGTGGACACAGTGAAAGTAGAAATACAGACTTGCTGCAATTTTGAAAAATACTGAGTTCAAGTACCTTCTTCCAGAATTCCTCAAGAAGAAGCTGTTATATAAGAAACAGACAATAAGTTAAGGCTCGTGCATGCTTTCTATTAAACATTATTTGTTTAAATTTAGTTTTGTCCTCATTTTCAGAAGCACTAAAAAGGACTTGTTGTCCTTTTTCAGTTACCCACCTGTGTTGCTACACATTACGAGAAATATTTAAAATGGTCACTTAAGTGTAGCATTGTTTAAAGGGAAAAAAAGATTTGCATCCTATGAAACTCTAAAAGCCAAATAGCAGGACACCAAAAAGGATGGTTTCTCTGCTAATTGATGTCTTGATGTTTGAAAGGATGAATAATTTTGGTACATAAACAAGGTAGTGAAGTTCACAAGGGAAGTTACAAGAGGCTTACAGTTTTAATAATTTAGGATGGGATTTTCAAAAAGCACCCAAGTGACTTAGGAGCACAAATCACTAATATTTAAATATATATTAAAACCCATGCTTCAAGGTTTAAGCCAATCTCTAACTACTAGAGATCAGCACATGACCTAACATGCGGACAAATTATTCCATTACAGGGTTTTTATGCCTTCCTCTGAAATATCTTGCACTAACCACGGTCAGAGACAGAATACTGAAGTGGGTGGACCTAGGGTTGCCAGGTGTCCAGTTTTCGACTGGAACATCACAGACGCTAAAATCCAGTTGGCCACAGTAACCAACCTCCGCCACTAGGGGTGGGGTGGGATGGGATGGGAAGGCCAGCAGCTGCGGCTGGAGCCACATGGAAGAGCTGCTCTCTGCCCAGCTGCTGACACCTGACAGAGAGCAGCGGCTGGCTTCCGGACCAGGCTCCAAGAGGTAGGTGCTGTTGCCCGGGGAGGGGGGGGGTCCTGTCTGCCCCTCCCCCCTTCTGCCCTGCCATGCCCCGATTGCCTTGGCCCATCACTAGGGGGATCGACCCCTCTCCGTCCCAACCCCTTGCTCCAAGGACTGACCCCAGCGGTGCCCCAATTGTCTGGCTCTGACCCCTTGCTACGGGAACTGACCACTGCTGTGTCCCACTGTGCCCCTGCCCCTTTCTCCACGGACCAACACCCCCCTCCACCTGTTGTGCCCTGATTGAGCAGGCAGGCAGGCTGGCTCCCCATTAGCAACTCCCAACCTGGCTCCGCAGGCAGCAGGTGAGTCCCAGGAGGAGGGTGAGTGAGCGAGGGGGGGGAGGGGGGAAGAGGCAGGGCCTCAAGGGAAGAGGCAGGGCAGGGGCGAGGCAAGGGTGTTCGGTTTTCAGCAATTATAAAGTTGGCGACCCTAGGTGGATCATAAGTCTGACCCCGTACGGCAATTCCTAGATCTCATTACCCACTCCTGGGAGACACTGTGCCTGAGTCAGAGTGCTTCTTGGAAATTCCCTGGTATGCTGGTGGGTAAGTAATTTGCAAGAGTCCTTTATGAGATGCAGCTTGGAAAACTAGTTAACATCTGCCCACACCTTGCCCCCACTCCATTGTTTTCAAGTGGGGAGCATCTGGTGTTCTAGCTGGTAAAAGAAATGATACATGTTGAGGAAATTCTCTCAACATTTTTACAAAAAGTATCTAAATTTAAATTAGTATTTTTGACCTTTGGAAAATTTTAACCAGCTCTATTTTCCTCAGAGGGAGATGTTGCATAAAAAAAAAAGTTTCAACAAAAAGCTTTACTGAGACCTACATTTCAAAAAACTATGACCTGCTATATCTGTTGTATAATCCCATTCAGTCCCAAGAGCTTGGCGCTGCAATAAAGGTAGCCTTAACATAGGCTTTGCAAGAGGGAGGAGGAAAATCTTTATTCCCTATGCCTGAGAGGCCCTATCATATAACTGTACATGTTTTAACACACAATGGAGTCTGGAGTATTTCAAAACAACGCTGGGGGTTGGAACAGCCTAAGGGCCATTGTGGACTAGACACTGAAACAGCTAAAGTCTTAGTTTGATAAACTGGTATCAACAGTTGGGAATCACTGCTGTAGGGAATGGACTAGAAGACTTTTCCTAACTCTAATTTTTATTCCTTTATGTTAAGCAGCACAAAGCCATTTTAGCCTTGTCTTCATAAGAAACAAAGTTAGAAAGATATCAGCATTCAAATTAATGCAGGACAACATCAGCAAGCAATAATGTTACTTTTCAAACCGTGAATGTTTTATAAACAAAGCAAAGTAAAACTCTGATGTTAGAGAGAATGATTTGACTTTGTCCCTTTAATTATTTCAAGATACTGGGAATAACTCAGATCATCTTAAACTAAATAAAAGTAATCAGACACTGAATAGCCAAACCAGAAACTAACTGGTATATTTATCATACCATTGAACAAAATTCCCAGTTTAAAATGAACTGATACGATTTTATGATGTTGCTAACTAAGTATATGAAATCCACACAAAATACAAGAACATTGCAGAAACAATTTTTAGTTTTTATTTTGCTTGGCACAAGGAATTAAGATGTGATGAACTAATTTTTTAAACCAATTTCAATTTATAAGAACATAAGAATAGCCCTACTGGGTCAGACCAAAGGTCCATCTAGCCCAGTATCCTGTCTTCTGACAGTGGCCAGTGGCAGGTGCCCCAGAGGGAATGAACAGAACAGGTAATCATCAAGTGATCCATCCCCTGTCGTTCATTCCCAGCTTCTGGCAAACAGAAGCTAGGGACACCATAAGCCCAGCTTGGAGTAAACATGCATAAACGACAAGCTCACTTTTTTTTCCAAGCTTCCTGAAAAGTCTATGAAACTGTACACAGAAGAATAAAAAATAGTTTTTCCTCGCTAACTTGTGAACTGCTCCCTCTTGCCATTTAGCAAAATGAATTATTTCAGTCTGCTGTTTCCTTGCACCCAGCAATAAATTTAAACACTCTTGCTTTATTTATTGAGGGGTTTCTATTAATTTAGCCAGATAGCCTCCTGGAAACTGTCTTGCACAAAAACAATAAACTGATCCCCAATTTTAATAAGACAGCTAATGTAGGCCTCCTGGGCTCCACTGCTACCAAGGCCAACTCAGATATTTCTGATTAGAAAACAATTCAACTGAAAAAATAGCATTGCCCTTTGGTAAGCCACCATTCATCATGATGGGCAATGTATTAGCCACAATGTTAAGATAGCTTCCCACTAGGCAATAGGGACGTTATAGTATGATTATGTATAGGGTAACGTCTAGGAACATAGAGAATTTCTTTCTCATCAAGCACTTCCTGAAAGTAGAAAATATATGTGAAGGAAGGAACAAAGCCTGAATGTAGCACTGTCTTGGGTCTCATTCACAATCTTCATTCCTTTGAGTCAGAGTAATTGCCAAAGATGCACAAAATTTTAACAAGAGAATGTATTTAAAGTTTGCATGTGTGTGTGGGGGGGGGGGGAGAATTCTCTATGTTAGGGTTTTGTTCTAGTTCCCATTTCTGTAGTATCTGAGCCCCTCCTAGGTTAGTAGACATCGGGTGCTCCCCATGATCACAGAAAATTCTGTTTGGAATAGGGTTGGATTTGGGGGTGGGGGCATCAGTTATTGTGGATTTGACCCAAGAACCTCATAATGCTATCTAGCAAGAGGGTGCAGAGCGGTTACAGGGATTTCCTGAGTCTGGTATTTACATTCTAGTTCACCAAAATGTGTCATGTCAGGTCTCAAATAAAAGCCAGTGTCACACTGGTCATGAATATAATTGCAAAATGCATGTATAGATGTTGTATAAGGAATCCTGTATACACACTGAAAATTATGTTCTTAAGGGACTGGTCACCAGCAAAGATGAAAAATAGGTACTGTCAGTCCAGAAATGTTTGTCTATTTACATAAGTATTGTATCTTTCATAATGGGTCCCCTCCCACCGGTCTGAATCAAATGCTAATGACAGATTGTGAAAAAAACTTAGAAGAGAAAAGTAACACAAAAAAGCAAAGGGGGGGAACCCTATCTTGAGGTGCATATCAAAAGGTTTATTCTACTATATTTGGGGGACAAGGAAGACATCCTGTCACTCCTCACCTAGGAAGTAATTTGACAGCGAATTTGCTCCAGGAAAGTGGGATCTCAACCAGGCTTGGCTGAAAACACTCTAGAGAACTTGGGGTGAGATAAGCTTCTTTAGACAACAGTATAACTTGTTTGCTTAGTCTCTAAAAAGTATGTTATAATTTTGCTTTATATGCAACCCATTTGTTTCCAATACTCTTATTTCTCACTGTTACCTGAATCTCTGTTCTTTGGCAATGAATTTATTCTTGTTTTCATTACAAATATATTTAAGTGCTGTGGTGTTAATCACAATGGTGTTCTTAAGTTAAATCTTAC